GTCATACTAATTTAATAAAGCAGCAATTTACCTATTAGAACTCAGGAATAAACGTTATCGTTATGTATGAACATCAGGAGTAATTTGCTTGATTTGTAAGAGAATACATGATTAAATTTTACATTGTTTGTATATATTTTTATTGTAGCATGTGTAAGTATTATCATTCCGATCCAAGTAAAGAGTACCTCCGATAAAAATAAATGCGAAAATATATATACATAGGAGAAAAGAAGATACTATTTTAAAACTAAATGTATGTATATTTGTGTATGTTTATTAATTGATATGGTCAGTTTTAGTCATTTCGGGATCAGAAACTCAAAAGGATCTACGCGAGAATATTACAAATTCGTTATATTAAAAAGCTATTAAAACCTAACACGTCGTTACAGTTCATATTTCCATTTTATCAGGCAATCGTGCATCTTCACAATAGTCTTGCAGCATGGTTTCCATTCCAAAAGGCTCCTATGTATCATCGCTGAGGTACGCCTTGTTGCAGTTTTTTTTTTTTCTGGACGGTTCTGGTGATCCATATATTTTTGTTATCCAATAACATCCAGTACAAGTAATATCCCGGTGTCAGAATCATAAATCTCGATTAAAACACATTTGTATAATCTGAGTGTAGGAAAATGTTGGGTTGGAAAAAAGCGATCAATTTTTGGTGATATCACACTATCGACGTAATGATAAATAATGTCAAAATGTAGTTGTTATACATTCTGTTCCACCGCGACTTTATATCTGCTGTGGTTGTCAAATGACTTACTGATTTACATATTCTAAGTCGTTTTAATAAAACGTATTCAACCCTCTGTATATGGACCAAGATAGAAAGAAGTCCCTCAATCCTTTTGCCTCTGGACTGATTTACAGTAGAGAAAATTCCGAGAAAAACAATGAAAATAATAACTATAATAACCACGTTGTGCTGACGAATCATCATACTTCTATAAAAACCTGTCGACATATAACGTTATTTTTATTCGTTCTAGGAAATGATTCTGAGCTTCTGTTTCGGCGTGTATGGCAAATAAAGTGTCCATCGTTAGTGCAAGTACGCCCAATATAATTTATTCTTCAATGCCCTTATTTATCTAATCTTTTATCTTTATCTGATATTAACATCATAAAAAGAGAAAATTATATGAAGACTAGTACTTTTGTTTCCGGTATACGAATAACATTTGATAGAGAGATTATTTATAGATAGTAATTGAATAACTAGTGAAGGTGAGCGAGAATAAACAAGGTCAAGTAAAACATATATCTTGCTTTAAAGAGACAGTTACCGCGTAACAGATCGTTGGAATAAAACTAGTAAACGAGACCGCTAAGAAATAACTCTTAGAATCAAGTATGAAAGCGACCTCGGTAACAATTTCAACTGTTAAAAAACACATCCACTCTATATATGTTCATGAAATAGTATTATTAGTAAAAATGTATGCTGTAGCATTCTGAGCATTAAACCTGGAATCTCACATCTAGCTTTCAGTAAGGCTCGCCCGGCATTGCCAGGTGGTTAGGGCGCTCGACTCACAATCTGAGAGTCGCGGGTTCGAATCTCCCGTCACACCAAACATGCTCGCCCTTTCAGCTATGGGGGCGTTATAAAGTGACTGTCAATCCCACTATTCGTTGGTAAAAGAGTAGCCTAACAGTGGGCGTTGGGTGGTGATGACTAGCTGCCTTCCCTCTAGTCTTACACTGCTAAATTAGGGACGGCTAGCGCAGATAGCCCTCGTGTAGTATTGCCCGAAATTCAAAATAAACAAACACAGTAATGCTCTTTACTTACATTGTGTATAACTTCCACTGAGTTCGTTTTTAAAAGGATTTATTTTAATGAATTTTTAATTTCCTTTCCAGAACAACTACTGTGTTGCCTTGAGCTATAAGTAGCTTGAAATAGAAAGGAATTATAAAAAAAACATACAAACTGATATATCCATTACATCTTTTATATGAAATATTATAATTAAAAAAACATTATAGATATATAATTTTTTTATTTTCCTTTTTCATCTAGTTTATTAATTTCAGATCATCAAAATTAAATAAAAATTTTATAATTGTATCGAAATCAACTGCTATAATAATGAATGCGAGACATGCAAACGTTTGGTAGAAAACAAATGATGTAAGTTTGTTTATTTCTTGAATGTTGTATGAAATTATTCGAAAGCTATCTGCACTAGCTGTCACTAATTTAAAAGATATAGATTCGAAGGAGAACAGCTGATCAACCCCACCTACCGTCAACTCTTGGGCTATTCCAACTGAATAATAGGATTGACTGTTACATTATAACTCCCCACGGCTGAAAGGGCGAGTATGTTCAGTCATGTGATTAAAACTCGCAATTCGCAGCTTGTTTACATCTTGGTCAGGTGCCTACGTTGGGTGTTTAGTTTCGCTAAAGAAATCTGGGCACGTGAATGTTCTTACAGCTATGGCTGGCAAGAAATTCTCTCATTCTTCTCGGTAGCAATAAATTTTCTTCCTCTTTTGGTTGACCAAGGATGTGGTGAGTATTGGTAAACTTGGAATTTTACTGTCTTTCTATGTGAAAAACAAATGCTCTGATTCTTCTGCTTGACAACGAATACACTAATTTATTTTAACTGAAATGCTCTTATCCTTTCGAGTGACAAGGAAAGCTTAGATTTTTTCTGAATATCAAAACACAATCCCACTATTATTAGAAACAAGAAACTCTGGGGGAACAACAACAACTACTGGATCCTTGTGGGTGTAAAGGAATGTTTTCATTGCTATTGTAAACAGTAAGGTTATCATTATACTACTCATTAAGAAATTACCTGACTGATGGACAACAAGAAATGCTCTCATTGTTACTTGAAACAAGTGACTTCTTTCACTTTTCTAATTACAAGGAAGATTTATTTGTATTATTCTAAGTTATAAAGAATGTTTTTAATTTTTATGAGTGACATGAAATGTTCTAATACTCTAGATGACAAGAAATGCTTATTTATTGAGTGATAAAGAATGGCTTTTCCTTTTTGGGTGAAAATAAATGTTCTTATTACCCTGGAAAGATGAAATACCCTTATTATTCCGATTCTCAATACAAGCTGTCACTAACTCGCTTAACATAAATGTTTATTTTTGCTCCAGTAGTCTTGCGTTCGAATACTGATATGTTCAAAGTTAAAATATGTGAAATAGGCAAAATAAGTACAGTAAAATTATTATATACCGATCTACTTAAATGTAGTTTCGATCGAGATTATCCTTGCATATTTACTGGATTAGAATCTGATTATACGATGTAACGGAAATGTTCGTGCTAATCGTTATAAGAGTTAGCTTTCTTAAGGCAGTAGAATGTAGTAACATATATCTAAGATTTGTATAAAGTGTAATAAATCGGATCATTAGTTAAAATACCGTCATTTCGCCAAAAATAAAGTCCACAAGTATTTCTCACTGTTGGATATACATGACTTTTTCATTTGATCTTAAGTTTAATGTGAACGTTATGATTTAGATTGTTTACATAGCTAGAGTGTTAACATAAGTTATTTTTGAAAGCTATACTTATGGCAAGTTTGCTTACGTAACTATTTACGAATCATTTGTTGTTAATTGACGTCACGTTGCTCGAACCTTCTAAGTTTTACTCCTTGTTGTAAGTGGGCATTGTTACATCATAACGTCTCATAGTTTGTTAGAAAGTTTTAGGCTTCAGATGAGCAATGTATATATATAGGCGACCAAGTTAGTAGAGATTAAGTAAAGTTCAATTGCGCGTAAATTTAGCTGTAATAAGCGAATTCTAAAGTGAGTTTCACATTTTGTATCGTAATAACAGAGATAAAAGAGATTAATTTGTCTTTTCAAAGGATGTTCTAAAGTAATTGAACCCGACTGCGTGGCCATTGAAGAAAAGGAGACAATAATTTATAGCTCTGGGGACAACAGTGATAACCAATAGTTTAACATTTTTTTTGTACATAGATTTGTCTTTTTTTGAATATATTACTTTAAAACAAATGGATGGTATGCTGTCAGTTTATTGTTGAAATTTATCGCCAACAAGTCACAGACACTTAGAATCCGATCCTATAAAAACTTGACAAAAAATAGAGATTGAGAAGTTTTTTAGTATGAGATAAAGTCATCAGTGAATGTTAGTTAAATACAAATCGTTCAAAACTACTATATGGATGTTAATAAATGTGTAGATGATTGAATGAAAATGTGGATTATTACATCATAACATTAAGTTATAAGAAATATTGAAGGATCAGTATCGTAGTTCTTAATTTTCTAAATCGCGTTCATTTAAATTTTGTTTTTGGTAGGTATCATAATAGAACAATCATATTAAACGTACTTATACTTACTGGCCTCTTTCAGCTATTAAAAATAATTTACAAACATTATTCAAAAATGTTTATACGTCCTGCTAGCTGTTAATATAATTAAGAGAATGACGAGGGATTTCTTTCCTAAGACGATATTCTATATTTAAGAACTCTAAGGTGTCAGGAGTCTGCAAACTAACTCTAACATAGACAGCTTTTATTTTGACTTAATTTTTAATATTATTTCTCTTATATTTCCATAGACATAGTTGACAAATGTGAATAATGTTAAGCCTGCTTCTTAAAACCTATGCAATGCTATGTTTACTTGATCATTTAGTTAATTTTATTTTTGTTGTTTGTGCGTTCAGATTAATGTCAATATTAATACCAAGTATACAGTTGAAGAATCATGAAGATACCACTGGTTATATCTAAGGTGGTGCAATGCGCAAAAATGGAAATCTAAACTTCTGTGGTCACAATTGTAATCTGTAATAGAAGCGAATAAAATCGGTTATTTATAAACATTTACGCTGATAACATTATTTTAATCGTATCTTTTATTTACTTTTAATTAATCTCATGTTTCCTCGAAAACTTACGGAAATAGGTAGTACAAATTGTCGTATTAAATCATTTACTGGAAATAACCTGTTTTGTTTATTTTATCATTTTCTAAATAAAATAGTTGACTTCTTCAGGTGACAGCAGATCAACAAATGCCAGGAAGGACAACTCGCTTTTTAGAGTTTATCAATACCTCTGTCCACCAGCATTCCACTCATTGATGGTTCAACTTATGATGGACTTTGGTGCAAGATGAAAAACCCCAACTAGTCGCTGATATGAATAGTTCAACAAGTACTTAAAACGATCACAAAGTAGACTTTTGGCGCTAGATGTAAGTACCATCTACGGGATCAAAACGTTACATTACAAATGTCTAAAGAAAGATCAGACAGTGGTTGGAAGTCTAAGAAGACTGGAAGACTTGGAGTCGGTGTCGGCGTTATCATTGTGCTGATGTCTCTGGTCGTTTGAAATTTTTCCATCTTCCTCTTCTTGTCGCTTATGTTTGGTCCTACGGTTCTGGAACCACACTTTAACCTGAACAAATAAACACACGAATAATTCTAAACAGATAATTCAAAAACAGAAAACTGTTGATTACGAATATTAAGGGACAAATGGATGATTATCTAGGACAATATACTGTTTTATAGGGTTGTCACAGCCCTAAGTGGTTTGCTACTATATGCTTGCAAAGTTAACTCCGATCTCTTTTACCAACTCACTGAATAAACTCATTTTCCATCTGAAATCTTATTCGTGGTTATTACATTATGATTTATGTTTTATTTCCTTTTAATATGTCTCCGTCTTTTACCATGGTAAACAAAATTTTAAAGATGCTCATTACGTACATTAATCTTGTATTCATAGTTCGTTGAAGAAAACATCAGAAGAGCTTTCAATAAGCCAAACGAAGTTCTTCACTCTTGTTTTAACCAGTTAAACAAATTGGTATTAAGAGACACATCAATTAGTGTTAGTTGATACATACGTAATAGTAGTTATAAATCAACTAGCATTATGTGGCATATACATATACATAACAGTAAAAATAAAGCGGTTATTAGTATGTGAGACATACACGGCAGTAGGTATAAATCAACTAATATTTAGAGCTAAAGGAGTTGTATCGTATTTTTAGTGTTTTATTATTCTCCATACATGTAACAACATTTATTCGTTTCTGACTGGTTGGGATAATCCTTTGAAGCCTTATGTTTACAAGTGCACAGAAAATGATATCAATTATTTGGAGAGCTCTGCATGAGACATAAATTACGTCTGAACTAAGATATTCAAACACTATCACCACCTGCAAGTAAATCTCCGAGAGTTGCGCCTTAAAAGTTGTATCGTCAAATTATATTACCATACTAAACACTACAATTTCTACAACAATTACATTCTGTTATTAATTTTATCGCAGTCATATATGACTTTTGATATTCCGCTTCACGTCGTTTGCTGTTAATGATGAAATTCAAATTGGTATAAACACGTACGCACATTCTTTTACTGATATAAAACTAAGAAAACTAATATCTTAAAACAGTTTTGTAAAATATCTAAATTATTCTAAGAATTAATTTAGTTTGGAAGCGAATAAAAAATGTATATTCATGCTAATTTGAAAACCTAAAAACAACAAAAATTATTAGACAGCTAATATTAAAGACCCATACACATCTGTATTCAAAATTAAAGTAAACTGATCATCGACGTTCTTTGGAATGTTGAGCTTGCGCGATGTGAGGATAATCCAGATGTCTGAAACCTCGTTATGCGATCTTAGGTGACTTCATAGGTACCTATGATAACCCATGCTGACAACACGGACTGTTATAAACATTCCTCGTTGGTTCCAAGTTAACGTTTTAAAATTAACGTTCTGCCTTCGAGTGCGATTGAGTTATAAATTTTCTTTAATTGTGAAGAGAAAATTAATAAACAGGGCTTTAACTTTTATTATTTAAGTTTTATGTGTAGTTCTACTATTGAATGGATCTCTGATATAGCCTATACCAGATGAAATAAAATGTGTTGGCGAAAAGTCTGATGAATAGTATACTAACATGAGTTGTGATGTATTCATACATAATTTGCTTGATAAACTGGTTATGATTTGTTGATTAAACGGTTGAGGAAAATAATTCCATATTTTTTTTTTCTCTTAATAAGGGAGTGGTTATTGGTAATAGTGAATTACCCGATTATCTAATTTTTCAATGTAACGATTAGTCATTCTCCAACAATGAGCTGCTAGAATTCTATTAGGCTAGCACACATGAAAACAATATTTGCTACGTCACTGGCATTTTTGAAAGAGTAGGCTTATTATTATCCCATGATTGTAATAACTATGTAGCAACTCGATTACATCAGGCTAAACTATTGTGGACAGAAAATTACTTAAAGCATTTGTGTAGAGAGTGAGAGTTTTGTGCACGACCTACTGACAGTTTTAAATCAATGCAAAAACCTGTCTTTGTGCTTTAAACGCTGACGTTATTCACTAAAATATTCGTTAAATTCTTCTGGTCAGGATATCGAAATACGTTTCACTATTTGCAGTATTTTCATTACCAGATAATTAATCTCAGCTACAACTTCCCTATCCTACTGATTGGATCAAATCCAAAAGCCCTCGAGAACTCCTACTTAACCTTTAAGAGAGCTACACAATAGGTAACAATAGCGGTTAAGGATCACACATGTAATTTTGCTCTCGAATATATTACTAATCAGTAGGATAATTTGATTGGTTGTGGTCAGTACATACCTTGAGTTCCTGTTATCTGTAATATACATAGATAAACTGTGGTGAATAAATTAATTTGACTCTTGACTGACTTTAGTGATTAGAATAATGACTTGAATAGTTTTTAGCTAATATAACGATAACTTGACTGACTTGAGATAATAAAATGGTAACCAGGTGCCTATTTATTAGTAAGATGCACAGATAAACTTTCGTACGTAAGTTAACTTGACTGTCTTTGGTCAGTGGAATAATAATTTGACTGACTCTATCCAATAAAATGATAATTTGACGTGCTGTGATATATAAGATATTATAACTGATTGTAGGTTACAAATAAGTAGACTGGCTATATCAGTACGATAACTTGGCTTGATGTGGTCCGTTAAATAAATTTATTGTCTTTGCTCTTAAAGTGATTGGCTGTAAATAATAAATTAGTAAAATTATGAGAAACTACAGGTTCGGTATATTCAAATACAATAAAAGGAATGTACTTGACACTATATATATAACGTTGCTCAGATTCTTTACTGAGTATTAAACTATAAATTAACGAAAAAAGAGAGATAGCAATACGAGATGTAGCCGGTATGACATTAAATAATTTGTTGGCAATGTTTTTTGTTCTGAATTAAAATATTCCTCACAGCTTACATGAAAGTTGTAATCAGTATTGTATTACAGCCTTTTTCAAGGTCCAGAATGAGTTGTGATTAGTATTGATTCCGAGTATTGCTCAAAGCCTACAGATATCTTATCTTCACTAACGTATTAGAACATCCCTATAGGCCCACAGATCAGTTGTAAACATGTTGTATTAGAACTGTCTTGAAGGCCTAGACACCATTGTGATCACCATTGTATGAGAACAACCCTAAATTGCTGATCAGTTGTGATCAGCCCTATTTGAGAATATTTCTGAAGGGCTGCAGACCAGTTGTGATAATATTGCATTTAAACTTTTTGAAGACCCAGAGACCATTTCTGATCATATTGTGTTAGAACCTTCTGGAAGACCCAGAGAATAGTTGTAATCAGTATCGTATTAGAACATCTCTGAAGAGCTGCTGACCAACTGTGATCTATATTGCATTGGAAAGTTCTAGAAGAAGGCCTACAGATAATTTCTGATCAGTATTATATAAAAAGATTCTTAAAGGCAAGCAGACCATTTATGATCCGTACTGTCATAGAACATTTTCACAGCTTTCTTGCTTGTTCTAATTGGAATTGTATTCGAACACTTTTTAACACCTACGAGTTACTTATTTCATTGACTATAGACGTAAGTAAAGAACTTTATTGACAGGAGATGTGATGTTAAGGCCTTCAGTGGTAACAAGTGTAAGTTAAGGACTTCATTTCAAAAGAAATTTATGTTAAAGATTTCACTGGAAGTAGACATAGGTTAGAGACTGTATTTGAAAAGATGTAATTTTAAGCACCTCATTTTTAATAGACACAGGTTAAGAAATTCAATAATAATAGACATAGGTTAAAGATTTCAGTGGTAATACACGTAGGTTAAAAACTTTGGTGGTAATAGGTTAATGACTTCAGTGGTTATAGACATAGGTTAACGACTTAACTGGTAATAGAACTAATGTTTAAGAAATGATCTTCTTTTTACTGTTTAACATGAGAGATTTCGTCATTCTCGAACAATCCCAAAATTATTTGAAGCTAATCATGTGAAATTTCGAAAAATGGTATAAATTAACTTACAAACATTTATCAATAATCACCTTATTTTAAAGTCATCTATCGCTTGTAGATGGCAGCACTTAAACAAAGCAAACCACCACATGTCTGAACAAACTAACCTTTGTTGAAAAATGCTAAGCCTTAGATACATAACACGAAGAAACTTATATGAAAGTACTTAAAGTGAATCTCAATGAAGTAGGAGCTTTCGTTCAGTTCAAGATAATCGACTCAGCCGATTTTGCATGTCTTACTCACTAATGGCTGAGTCATCTTCAGTTAAGACAGTTATATTTTTCTTTCTCTGTAATGGGTTGCCATTGGATGTTGTGGAGGCAGTAAATTTAAGTGAGTTTAAGAGAAAGCTTGATAACTATATGAATGATAAGAACTGGATTTAAGATTTGTATTTATTTATTTATTCAATAATTTTAATTTAGTTTTGAAGATGGGACAACCGAGATTGACCAATAGGTCTCTTGTTGCTCCAAAACATTATGTTATAGTCAGCTCATAATAAGAAAATGTGAACAGTGATATCGTTTTCATGTTGAATTCTGTTAGCTATAACGTCACATGTAAGACTCAGCTTCATCAGTAGTCAATACGTCCGAAGTTTCAGAGATAGCCAAAATAGGTCATGATAGTAGGTTTTAATCTAGAGGCATCTATGTATTATTTCTGGAACCAAAATTTTTAAGCATCTTTGGTGGAGTTTAGTATAAGCTTTTACAATCGTTTCTTATACAATCTCAGCATTAAAATGCAGGAAATCGAAATAACCAATTTATATGCTTAATGAATTGATTGTACTAATTGTGTTTAATGGTTGACTGGGCTGTAAAGCTTTTTTATTGTACCAACTAATTGTGTTTATTGGGTGATTGAGCTACACAGTTCCTCTATTGTGTTAAATAATTGTGCTTATTGGGTGATTGGGTCACAAAGCTTTTCTATTGTACTAACTAATTGTGTTTATTAGTTATTGGGCCACGAAACTCTTCTATTGTGCAAATTAATAGTGTTTATTGGGTGATTGGGGAACAAAACTTTATTGTACTAATTATAC